GATCTTAAGTATAAGTGTCCTTTTTTGTTTCCATTTTCTCTAAAACATTGTTCACATATTTGGTCCCTGGTATTCTCGGCATCCTTCTGTAGAACCAGATTTCTGTTACTTGAAGCCTCTTCTTCATCTGTGAGGAGATTGTCCAACATTCATTGCTATTTAGAATTCAGCACTCTTTTCTTTGTTTCTAATGGGTATTTATAAAAGAGTTATTTTTTTTTTTTCGTAATTGATGTCAAACATGCACTGCAATAAATTATAGGAGATGTTTACATCATTGTGCAAGTGCAGCTAGCAATTCAGTGATAATTAAAATTATTTTTTATGTAATTTATTGTATATATTTACCACTGATTACTGTTAAGTTTCAGTACTTTGTTAATGTAACTTTTATTTGTTTGCATTAACACCTTCAGAAAATGCAAGTATTTGAACTTTTCACTTAACATGAATCTACAAGGGTTGCTCTGAAAGTAATGCCGCCTACTTTATTAAGTTGGCATTCATTGAGATCATTTTACAATGCATTTACATCAAAGTGAACTCCCCCATTCCACCCTTATTAAATTTTATAAATTTAATTAAAAAACAATGATATTTTTGATCTGTAATGCTTAATCTATGGTAATATTAAGAAAAATTGAGAAAAATGATTATTTCTTGTTGCACTTCCAATTATATTACTCCAGAAATGTTTTGCTTTCATTACTAATTTATTTGATGTAAACTCTTATGAAAATCAAGCATTAAAACTTCCTCATTGTTCACATGTTCAGTTTATGGTATTCTCAACATCCTTCTGTAGAACCACATATCTGTTATCTCAGGTCTCTTCCTCATCTGCAAGGAGGTTGTCCAGCATTCATTGTTATATAGGAGGACTGATATTACATAACAGTTCAGCACTCTTTTCCTTGTGTCTGATGAAATTTTCCAGTTTCTTAATACTTTGCTTAACTCTTTAGAAGGCATCTTTCACTTCTAGTGTGCTTTCATATTTTGGTATCATACTGGCTTGAATTTAGTATCTTCCTAATTTCTGCAGTTTTTCTGCTGGTTATTTTTGTATCTTATTCTTTTTTTTTTTTTTTTTTTTTTTTTCAATGCTAAAGTTCACCCAGTTCAAAGATCAAGAGCCACTCAAAGTAGAGGGTTACAACAAAATAGCAATACTGAATAAAGGTGTTTGGTATGAATCATAGAGTAGCTTGTAAGAAATGAAGACTATAAGTCTATGGAGGAAAGATGCTGATTGACCCATGACTTGAAGAGGTTAGGATTGAAGTATTCAGTGAGCAATGCATTTATTTGTCAGCTCCATATATTCACCCTGTTGCCTTCAAGCTTAGAATATGTTGTCTGCCGATGAGTAAGACCCTACCAAAAGGGACCATGTTCTTGCAGATTCTAGTGTAAATGGGACATGGATCTGCCTCTTTATTAATTTGCTGTGATTTTTGTCCAATAATACTGATATTTGACAAGGGTTGATACATCAAAATTTAAGGAAGGATCTGTAATGTAATTGATCTTGACTTGGCACCTTGACTTCAGTCACTTTCTCACTAATGTGATGTGGCTTCCCTCTGTATTTTCTACAAATATTTTCAAAGCAACTGCTCTGATGAGCTTTTTTTCCCTGATGCCCCAACTACACAAATTTAAGCATGCTACAAGATTGGTATCTAAGTCCCACCCCTTTACTGTTGAACTAGTTAAATGTAACTGGCATTTCTACTTCAACAGTTTCTTTTCTCACACTTCCTACTTGTGGAACTATCTTCTGTTATCTTGCTTCCCTGATAACTACAATCTTCAAAAATTTAGATGCAGCATCATTTGTCATCTACTTGAATCCCATTCATTTTTTTTTTTTAAATCTTTTCTTCAATCCTCCCTATAGCCAGTCTTTTCTCTCGCTCTCTGTAGCCCCCTGCATACTAGTGGCATTCCTGCCTTGCTTGGGGTGAAATGATTAAAAAAATTAGCAACCCTAGACTTTTTGACTCTAGTGTAGACCTGACCTTGATCTACTTTTTTGGCTCTAGTGCTAAGTGAACCTTCATCTATCTTTTTATTTATTCATTGCGTTTTTTTTTATCTTACAAGACTGATATTTGATGTTAAATAATCCAGAAATGTCATATTGACCAATCTAACCAGACCAAACTACCATGTTTTGGAACTATTGTTTAAAATCTTTGTCATTCAGTATAAAATCAAGATTTTTATTCTATGTGTTTTAATGTCATCTTCCCTATTTATCCTGAAAAAGACAGTTTAACATTTTGATTTCTATTATTTGTGAATGGCAAGTAAAACATTTATGAGTTGGATGTGTGAAGATAAAAGTCAGGAAAAAATGAAGCAAATAGTTTACATTTATAATTAGAGAAAAATAATAATAATAATAATAATAATAATAATAATAATTGTATGTTCTGTCTGAATTTTGGACAATAGCATAGTTGATTAAAATATTGGTTTTTAAAATTAGTGAGGTTAATCCCTGGGTAGTGCAGATTAGACTCAGTGGGAACGTGTTGAGAAATAAATGAGCAGTACTAAATAAGGACTAGACAAGATATTGCTAAGCATGGCCAATGGAATTAGTCTAACTATGGAGATTAAATAAAGGGTTCTGTTTGAAATTCCATCAAAGTTACCCAGATTGACAAGTGCTCAGGCTTGAGCATTCACGATCATGAATCCTGTAACCCATTAGGGTCATAAGGGCACCACACGTACTGCAGCAGTGATGTGTCTCTGGCAAGATAGCCTCTCCAGGCTGGTTTGAATCCCAAGTATTTTCTTTTAGACTGGTTGCCAACTAAGGCTATAGGTTTCAGCCTGTCTTGTCATTTACCCATAGCTGGGGGTGAGAAGAGATGTATGCATGACATTCTCAAGGGTATTTGCATGTAAATGAATGGGATGAACCCGACTGGAATTCAAACTCTGCTCTTTGATTTCTCATTTGAATCTGATGTTACACCACTGTCACATCTTTTGAGCATTAATAGGAAACAAATATCTTTGATACATATGACTGCAGAACTGATACCCACTTATCAGGAGATTGGATAGTTAATTGAATTTATTTATCGTTATATAAAGCGATATATAACACTTCCATCTACATTATTAGTGACTGCTGATTAATAGATTAATAGTGTGGGGAGAAAAATTATGCAAAAATAATTTCACTATTTTTATCATCAACTGATCTGATTCTGTATAAGTCGTGGCACATTTTCGACTGACATGAAGTGGAGTGATTATATGAAATCACTTGCTTGGTCTATTCCTAGGAAAGTCTTTTTGTCAGAATTAGTGATGGGATGATTAATCAGGATCAGAAATAAAAGAATTTCTTGGGGTATTGGGATCAGAGAATTTCTAACCTAATATCTGATTCCAAAAATAATAATTTTTTTTTTATTTAAAACTTAATTTTCCATGCCTGGTACTAACGATAAAAAGATATAAATATTTATTGATTTTAAACTATCAGTAAAACTAAAATCTATAGATCATAATAACACCTAAGTATGATGTAAATTTATTTTACTTGTGTTAAAAAAAATGAAATGTGCAAGTTTCTACTCAGTTCCCACACTTTTCATAAAGTTCACTAAAGTCTGTTTCAGTTCAAAATAAAATTTTTATTTTTAATTTCTTTTTAAACAATTTTAATTCACTCATTCAATATTAGAAATTATTAATTTAATAATAATAAAATTATGTAATATAAACAGCCTTCTCTCCCACAAACAAGAAGATGTGCAGGAGAAGTTGAGTTGTGTTGCAGAAGAAGCAGAGAAGACTGGCCTCCATATCACCATCGGGACGATGGCAGTCATGAGGGTAAACAACAGATAAGACCCAGTGTGTCTACACCAAGAAGACCTCAAGTTTGCCTACTTGGGAATTGTTGTCAGTAAAGATGGGGGAGCAGATGAAGACATCAGGTGCTGAATCAACAAAGCCCGACATGCTTTCAACACTCTGTAGCCAATCTGGAGACCAACAATCCTCTCACTTTACAACAAGATCCGGAAACCTGGTGGGTAACCAAGACCAACACCCAACAAACTTCAGATATCTACCAAATGATGTCTCAAGAACATCCTCAATATCAGATGGCCAGAAGTCATCTCCAGTGATCAACTGTGGGACAGGACCAGACAAGCCCCAATCAAGAATGACATCAAGAATTGGAAATGGGGATGGATTGGCCACACACTCTGCAAGCCTGATTCTAGTGTCACCATGCAGGCCCTTGACTGGAATCTACAATGGAAGTGAAAAGTGGGTCAACAAAAACAGTTGGGACAGAAGTGTTGATGCAGAAGTGAAAGCAGCCAGCACGACATGGGTCGAGCTGAAGAGGATCACCTTGAACCATGTCCATTGCAGAGGTGTTGTTGCAGTCCTATGTTCTCCAAGGAATCAAGAGGCATATAGAACTCCTTACTGAGATGTGATGTGACACAAGATCGGGTTTACTGTGGGGAACCCAAGCACATATGCCTGAGCCAAGAACTAAAATTGCCCGGCCCCATCAACTGTCGATTGCACTACCGTTCTCCCTTTCTAGTGCAATGGGTGGGGGTAAGGCTCGAGCAGCTGTACCAAAAGGTTAGACACCTCATAGCATTTATTTTCCTCAGCTGTGTCTTGGTTTGTAGACAGAGCCACAACCTGAGTCACTCTCTGCCCAAAGACAGACACACAACTGAGAGATGATAAACCCTCCCCAGCATGTGCCAGGGTAGTATAAGTATGGGTAAACTTGTAGCTAGATAAGTGACAATTAGTTTTAAAATTTCTTGTAGTATGTAATTATTCAAGCATTTGAACTTGTATATGGAGATTTGCATCAGAAGGTAGCATTTATTTTTTTAACATTGTAGACAATATCAGATTTCTAAGAATAAATGAAGATCAATGAATGAGCTGAACCCAATGTAAATATGTTTATTATTTTATTTTTCCAGCACCTCCTCCTCACCTCAGGCAACAACAGCCATTTACCAATGAAGGCTTTCCAAATGAATCAACCAACCTTCACAAATGTCTTAACTGAAGGTATCTAATTTATCTATTTTAAAAATGCCAGCAAATCAATACATTGACATTAGCTAAAATAGCAAAAGGCATTTTGTCTTTTTGCATTTGGGTGGAGTGACAAATATTAATGTTGATAGATATTTTATTTTTACAAAATAGTGCTTTCATTGGTTTAATTTTGAATCTGATAAAACTCCCAAAAATGCCCTAGATGATGTAATCCATTGTTCTTTGTACATACATATGAAACTTTATTACTCAGGTTACAAATGTCTTAACTTAATTAATTAATACATAAAGTTTACTAAATCTGTGAAATGAGTTCTATTTTTTTTTTAAATTTTAAATCAGATATTTAAAAAAAAATGCATCTGAGCAAATAGTCAATAAAACTACATTGACATTAGCTAAAAAAATAGCAATTAAAATTGGCATTTTGTCCAATTTTTTTATTCTGTTGGGTTTAAGTGACTTGGCTAATTTTGAGTAAGTTCCAAAACAAATATATATATATATATATATATATATATATATATATATATATATATATAGTATATATATATATATTTCAAAAGTTTAAAGTTTGTATGTAAAATTGTTCTAACCTAAATTTCTTTTTAAATAATACTATGATATAAATGCCATAAGATGTAAGCTTTTGAATGACCCATTTTTTACTAAAAAACATTTCTTTTCTTATATGCCATATGTAAGTTTAAAATTTGAGAAATGATAGTTTTGTAGTCTGGGCCATTAATATTACAAAAATATCTAAATTAAATTGACACATATATTTGAATGATGATGATTTTTTAGTAGTATTTAAAAGTTTTTATTTTAAAGTTAGTAGTAAAATAAAATGAATTCTAACATGACAAATTTTATGGTTACATATTTTGAAGATGAATAAAATTTTAATGGTAACTGTGGCTTAGCTAGTTTTGTAGTAAGTGCCATTGCTCGATTGTAAATAAAAAAAAAAAAAAAAAAAATTTTACTTTTGATATTTTTTATTTTGTTTTCTTAAAACCTTTGGATAATAACCTAAAGTTTTTTAAATGGCCCATGTTCTTTTTTTTTCCCATGTCCTCATTACTTTTTTGTTTAATTGTAATCATGGCCATTTCTTCATAGTCATAAAAAAAAAAAAAAAAAAATAACCTACTTAAAAATAATGTTAAAATAATCCTACATAATGTACCATTTTTACTAATAATTTTAAAATAAAAAGGAAAATTTTCAAATCTAATTTGTAAAAAAATCTTTAATTTTAAAAGATGATGACGTTGAAAATTTTTACCGTTTTCTTGATTTGCCCTGCTGAAAAATGTTATAACTGATACAATGATACTGTCATAAGGAAAATCAAATATGGTAATTTTTTTTTTTATATATCAAAACCCGAACAATTTTAAGATGAAATGAACTAATGTTTTAATTTATTTGACAAAGTTTAAAACATGGTTTTCTGTGAAATGTTTTTTAAATCCTTTTTATAATGATATATTTATATTTATATTAATGCAAATGATATGTATTGTATTTGATGATATAAGGCTTTTTTTTTTTAAAAATTTCTTTTTCTTATATGCATATGCTTTAAAATTTGAACAAGATGACACATTAGGAATGAAAAAAAAGTTTTGATTTAAATTCAATGATCAAATTTTAATGGTAACTGTACTGTTTTGCTCGAAATAATTGCCAGATTTTTATTTTGTTTTCTTACCTTTGGATATAATAAAGTTTTATTGGCCCATGTTCTTTTTTTTTTTTCCTATTATTTTTGTTTTTAATTGTAATCATGGCTTATTTAACCTAATTTATAGCCTTTTTTATAATAATTTTAATGGGCATGGTCTTCATAAAATTTGTCTTGAAAGTTTTGTGGGGATAAAAAAAAAAAGGAAAATGAAGTGATTAGATTTACTTATTTCTTCCCACATTTTGGGTTTGGTTAGGGTAATTTTTTTCTAATACTATAAACTAGAATTTCTTGTTTGGTTTCTTAAGTTTTGGCAGCTAATGTTTAATAGATGTTCTTCTCTTTATGCAACATGTCCTTTTTCTTTTTCTTCTTTTAATTTCCCAGACAAGGCATAACTGTTTCGATAGAAATAGAAAAATTAATAAAACTACTGATTCTTTACTGCCTATCTAAAAGCAACTAATATATTGTTGAATCAAATTTTGCAGGGTTGCATATGAATCCCTGTCTGAGAACACTTTCATCAATATTAAGCAATAATGATGGTATTGCATCACAAATACCAATTCTCATTTGATCAATATGTCAATGGGTGACTGCTTCGAAAAAAACTATGTACTGTAAACTTTTTCTTCTTAAAAGAAAACAACCATCAAGTTGTAACCCTTAGTGGCTAGAGGAAAGCTTTCTAAATTGGTGTGTCATAACACTTAATGACTGTTAAATGCTTTCTTTTTTTTATGCCCCTCTGGACTGATTAAAGAAAATGAAGTCCAACTACATCTCAGCTCCTGTGTTCTTTTTGCAATAAGCACAGATGAAAATGAATAGAGCATAAATGAGGTTCAGGTACAATGAGGGTCTTATGACCACGTTACATTGAAGCATTGGTTCTCATATGATTAGTGCACTTAAGCAACGTCGAGCCTGGTCAGCACCTAGACGAGTGACTGCTTGGGAATACTAGGTGCTGTAAGTTTGGATGTGTGGATGGTGTAATAGATAATGGCTTGGAATTGTTAATCAGGGAGCCAAGTTCCAATTATTGCTGTTCCTTACGTGCAATTACCATTGGGGAAAGGTATCAATCCACTTATTCTCTCCCCCAATATGTTTTTTAGATTTATTTACATTCTCTGGAATATGAATATATAGAAGCTACCATGGCCACAAAGTTGTGGATCAATTTATATGTTGATTGTAATATAAAATGGAACCCCCAATTTATATCCACCTTATAATTTCTTGTGTATCAAATTCTGATTAGTTATAAGCCCACCTCTTTTTGCCCAGGTATGGATCAATGAGTAAGACTTGTATCACTAAACTATTATTATCTAAAAAAAAAACATTCTTAGAATGTAAAAATATTTTCTGGCTTTAAATGCCCTTCAAGGGATTGATAGGCCATAGAAAATGAATCAAATTAATCACAAGCAGACATGTTTCCATTGGAATTTTTCTTTTATATTGAATCATTTTGCCATGTGCACATATTTAACAATTCACTTTGTGAAGTCATTCTAATGTTTTGTGGACAATTTAAAATTACTTTCTTGGACTTTTTGGGATTACCTTGATTATCAAGGTTGAAATAGTCTTGCTTTTTGGATTTATTGCTTTTGTTTTGATTTCTTATTTGGCTAAATTACTTTGCTTCCTTTTATGTTGAAGAATAACCATGTCAGTTCCTTTTAATAGAAACAAAAAATACATATTTAAGAAAGAGAAAATCAAAAGTTTCTTTTTAAAGGAGAAAAAAAAAATATTCATTAAAAAATTAGAAAACACATTGTAAAGGAACAGATCAAAAATATTCTTACACAATTCATTTTGTGAAGTCATTCTACTAACATTCTGTAGACAATTTTAAAATGATCTTCTTGGTGAATTGTTTGGGTTTAGTGTGATTACCTTAGTTGAACCTGTCTTGATTTTTGTATTTATTGCTTTATTTTGACTTATTATATTGCTAATGTTTTTTTTTTTGTTGCAGGAAAGTCATTCACTGTGTAACAATGTGTGTGCTCTTCTCTGGTTTGCCTCTATTTCTGTTAAATAATAACTATGTCAATTCTTTGAAAAATATATTTTTCTTGGATAATAAAGTCAAAAAAAAAAAAAAAATTAAAATAGGGTTACCAGCAACAAAAATAAACATTGAAAAGTTCTAACCAAAAGCCATTATTTTTGGATTAATATTGAGTAACAGTGGTGCATGTCTGGACTTATGAGTGTCATCTTGTGCACCTGTGGTTTTTCAATTTTGGGTTTTCTGTTGTTTGTTGAATTTTATTTCTGTTTCTTTGTGATTGTATATCTTTTGTTTTTGGTTTAGAAGCCAGACTGCGATTAACAGCTGCTGAGAGACAAGCTCGACATCGGAACAAATTGAAGGAATGTGGGGATTACGAAAACTACAAGAAGGCCCATGCTGAGCAACAGAGGAAGATGCGGTATCGACGGAAGGAGCGAGAAAAGTTGCTGCCCGAGGCAGAACAACTGCGTCTCCTGAGAGAGCGGCGTGAAAAAACCAAGAAACGTGTGGCCAAGTGGAGAGCCCTGCAAAAGCAGAAGTTTGAGCAGCAGTTTAACCAACAGTCGAATTCCACTCAGAACTTACCTGCCTGCAAAATGGAACCAATGACTTGACAAAAATCTCATTTAGGTACTTCTTGATTTGAACAGTTCTGTATAATATCTTTTTTTTTTTTTTTTTTTTTTTTTTAACTTTTATATCACATGGTGGTTAAGGTTACTGTGGGATGGGACAATTCTGAATGGGGTGGGAGATATGGGCTGGTAAATGTGCCTTTGAACTAGTCATAGATTTCATAAGGGTTTGGCATCTCAGATAAAACATTTTAGATGCTTTTTATTAATACATTTACAGAAGAACATTAAAAAAATGCCCATTTCTTTATATTTGCTGATTTGTATGAATTTTTCTATGTTGACGGCTTACAGCGACATCAGGTTGAAACAATGCTTCCCATACAGTCGCCGAAATTAAGCAACGTTCAGCCTGGTTAGTACCGAAACGTCTGGCCACTTTGGAATACCAAGTGCTATAAGCTTGGATATGCCTGTGGTTTAGTGGTTTAATGGATAATGGCTCTGAATTGTTAATCGGAAAGTAGAATTCCAATTCCATTTGTGTTTAACTCACGCATGAATCCCCCTCTTCTCCCTCCAGCTATAGGTTAATTAGTATGACTTGTATCACTAAAACTATTATTATCTCAAAAAATATTTAAATTTTGGCATTAAATAACCCATAGAGGTTGATATGCCGCTAAACAAGAACAATCAACTGATATATGTTAAATAAGTTTCATTATTAATTTATACTAATATCTTATGAATAAGCAGTTGATTATCTTATTTCAAGTAATGTAAGATGCTATTTTCTATTAAACAGCTGTGGTCTTAACTTGTGTAGATAGAATTTCTTAATTTGTTATTTTAAAACCATGAGCTGAACTTGAACCTGAGCAAGCTAACTTTTTATAATGGTAATAGGGAGATTAGCTGTTTCCTTTATAAGGAAGCATTTAGTATTCATTGACCAGACAACATTACTATTGTTTGGAATTTATAAAATCTTTCTCTAAAAAGGATTTTTCAGGAAAATAGGTTTTTCAAGTCCAGTAACTGTTATTGCTCTTTCCAGTATTGAGAGTTGGGGTGGGGTCGTTAACTTTTCATTTATGGTAGTTTAGAAAGTCAACGTCTTGATTATGCTATTTCTTTTCTTTGAGTTATAATAAAATAATATTTGTAAATGAAAGCAGAAAGTTTTTATTTTTGGTGACTTAACTGCTGATATTTAGTCTTTTCTTTGAATTCTGAAATATTGAGCCTTATTTCAATTATTCTAAAAAAAGAATGGATGTCAATCATAAATTTCCTATATTAAAGAATTTCTTTCTAACTTTCTTTTTATCTTGATTGTCTTGGCAAGAAATCTTTAGCTAGCATCTCCACTAACTTTAGTAAATTAGCTCAGTTCTGGTCAGTTGAAAACGTTATGTAAGCAGAGAAGTAATAAAAAAGAAATGTTACATCAAAACATGTTTTTATTTGGTTGTAAAATGCACTAAGCATAAGTAGAGTTGAGCTGGATCTAGACAAATCTCTCTCTCTCTCTCTCTCTCTTCCCCCCTTCTCTCTTGCTCTTTCCTTCTCTCTCTCTTGCTCTTTCCTTCTCTCTCTCTTGCTCTTTCCTGCTCTTTCCTTCTCTCTCTCTCTCCTTCCCTCTCTCTCTCCTTCCCTCTCTCTCTCCTTCCCTCTCTCTCTCCTTCCCTCTCTCTCCTTCCCCCTCTCTCTCTCCTTCCCCCTCTCTCCTTCCCCCTCCCCCCTCTCTCCCTCCCCACTCTCCCCTTCCCCCCCTCTCTCTCCCTCTCTCTCTCTCTCTCTCTATATATATATATATATATATATATATATATATATATATATATATATATATCCATGATGTGGAGTAATTTTGGAGCCTTTACATTCAGTGTCAGTGCTGATATAGTTATGAGTTACTGTTATCTAGTGGTCATGAGTTGAATCCCTGAATCAGGTAGTGAAATAATATACATTATTTCAGCTAGAATGAACAAAAAATAATATCACATGGACAAAATAACCCTGTAATCCACACGTATATGATATGCCATATCAGCCAGTATCATGGACTACTGAAGATGGCGAGTAGGTACTTGGCTGAAACGTTGATAATAATCAAGATGAGAACAATAATTTGAAAAACTTGAATAATTTCAGAAAACCTTGTAACTTGTTTGATTCATTTCAAATTTAAAACAAGTAAAACTAATCTCATGTTTGACCTTTTTTTTCTCTCTGTGTTCAAATGAATAAAGGAAGAGCCGTCAACTATAGAAGTTGAGTTTTTTTTTTTTTCTTTTTCAACTTCTAGGTACTAAGCAAGATTTCTAATCATTCTGTAACCGTTTTTGGATATATTCCACCGAGTACCATGACTGACCATTTCATTACACTAGTCAATACCATTTATGCAAGTCTAACAGAATATTTAGCTCTTGCCCAAAAAGAAAAAAAAATAAGTGAAAAGATTTAAAAACAAAAAAAACATCTGTACTCTTGGCATTTATTGCATTGGTTCATCAGACAAAAATACAAAGAAAAAATATTACAATTCCATGTAGAATTTCTAGTCATAATCAGCAGAACAACGACATGTCTACAAACATTGGGATTATCAACAAAAAATATATCTTTTATCCAGAAACAAACAATATGTTTTAATATCTTTCAGTTTCAGATTTGTAAAAAGTGGAAATTTGAGGAGGAGGGTGATGACATATTGTGTACATATTTTTGTCTCTGATACATTTTTTTGCAAGTATATGACTGAACAACAATGAAAAGGGTTTACTCTTTTTTTTATTTAAATGAATGGGTGATATCAGTTGTCAGTTTGGCACTTGAAGCGGAATTTTCATTCTGTTATCAACTTACTACTCGAACCCATAATTATATATATATATATATAATGTATAGTTGGGAGAAACAAATGTTTATACACATATTTTTAATTTATTTTTTTTCCAATGAAGGAATAAAAATACTTTTCATATAATTAACTGTACACAGATGCATAATTACTAAATATGCATAGAAAACTGAAAAAAAATGTTCATTTAGTAGAAATAAATCCCATTTATTGATTTTTTAATGGGTAAAAAACGTTTTAGTACAATACAAATTTCAGATTTTAAAACTTTTAATTTGATTCAATACTCAGATATTCAACTGTAATATTCTATAATATTCCAATAATGTTATTGGTAGTTATTTTTATCCTAAAAATATACAAACAGAACATTCTGTAATTGATATTCATGCAAGGTTTTCATCATGGCAAGAGGAAAAGAATTGACAAATTTGCCAAAAGAACTGATTGTTAAACTCTGGAAAGAAGGTAAAATTTACAGGAAAATCTCAAACAACCTGAATATTCCATTTTACTACCATTTAATTCATTCATTGCAAGGTATAAAAAACTCAAAACTGTTGAAAACCAAAGAAGAACAGGTACTCCATAGAAGATTTCTGCAAGATATTTGAGGAAATTAATGCATCAAATTTAACAAAATCCAATGGTTACTCATCAAGAGATGCAGGATGATTGCAGGAATCTGTCACGAAATGGAAAATAACCAATGAAATTCATAGGAATAATGTAAAGTGTGCTACCCTTGGAAAACTCTACTGCTATTGAAAAAACAGAGAGATGTCTAGTTGAAATTTGTTCATGAACATAAGGATAAGGAAAAATCATATTGGGAAAGAGTATTATGGACAGACAAAACTAAAAAAAATCATGTATGGAGGAAAGATAGCAATACTGTCAAACAAAAGAACATAGTTACAACAGTGAAATTTGGTGGTGGCATCATCTGTTTTTTTGCAAAAGGTACTGGCAACATAGCAGTAATAGATGGTAGAATGAATGCCACAGTGTATCAAAATATTTTGGAAGCAAATTTAATGATTTCAGTTGAAAATATTGAGCTGCCTCCAGATTGGATCTTTGAACTAGATAATGATCCTAAGCACTGCAAAATCTATAAAGAAATAGTTTGCTGGAAATAATGTAAATATCCTGAAATGACCAAATCAGTCCCCAGATTTAAATCTAATGGAGAATCTGTGGCGTTATTTGAAAATTCAAATCCTGTTGAGAGCTCCAATAAACATCCCAGATCTGAAGACCATATGCAAAGAGGAATGGAACAAAATACCACCTGAAATTTGCAAATCATTGAGAACTATAAGAATTGGCTGGTTGGTTGCTGGAGAAGTGAATAATGGCTGTTCTACAAAGTATTAAATGAACATTATGTATTCTTTTCTGTATTGTATGAATACTTTTTTCACCCATTAAAATGGATAAATAGGATTTATTTCTATTAAATAAATTTTTTTTTGTTTTCTATTCATATTTCTTTATTATGCATATGTGTACAGTTAATTATATGAAAAGTATGTTTATTCATTAGTTGGAAATACAATAAATCAAAAATTTGTATGTGTACAAATATTTGTTCCCCACCCTGCTGAGATATATATATACACACACACACACTGTAGATGTTTTTGTCTGATCTGCAGAAAGATCATCCATTGTGTGTCAATATGTAAGAATAAATGTGTGTGTGCATGTGTTTTTAGTTTTCATCTGTTCTCCTTAAGTTTGGCTTCAATTAAAAATGGTTCAATCACCTTTCATGAAAATAAATAAAAACAATTAGAATTTGAACACCAGGCTTAACAATATCTGAATTTGGTTGAAATTTAGTTTGGTCATTTTAAAGAACCCTCTGTACTGCCTCCTCTTCCCACAACACATCAAAGACTTGTATTTTACTCATATGGAATTAAATAATGTTTAGTTTACGAATCTCATTTAGTTTCTACTTTAAGACAAACGAATACTTGAAATATAACTATATTCTCTTTTTATGCACATGACATTGATTTTTCTTTCATTTTTAATTATTTAAAGAAAAGTAGCCGTATGTATAAAACATTGCTCCTTTCAGGTAATATTAATTACAAATATCTAAATCAAACATTTATGCTGTTTTCATTAAACATTGAATTTTTGTATTTATAACAACTGCAATAACATTCACTTAATATTTCTTATTTTTGGTAAAAGAAAAGCATAGATAGTTTAATTTTAGAGTCAGACTTTCCTGAAGCAAGATAGCATTTTCATGGGAATGAGCAGTTTTAATGAAAACTAATATGTATAAAAATGTTTTTTTTCTATTTGTTCAGCAAAATGTAAATCTTTTAGATAAAACTATTAGTTTCCATTGGTAATAAAATATTTGCATTGCCAGTAAATACACTGACATTACCTCCGTTGAATTATCATTCAGAGTAAATTTTCCATAACATGTTAAAATAGACATTGAACATTTGAAAATTTAAGTTATTCTTTTTCATTTTTTTTTTTATTTTTTTTTTTTTTTTTTTTTTTTTTCGTTTTTTTTTTTTTTCCGTTTTTTTTTTTTTTTTTTTTTTTTTTTTTTTCAGGTATTTAATTTTTTCAAGTTATTTTTTCTTTCCTTTTTATTTTTTCCTATTTTTTCTTTTTTTCCTTTTATTTTTTCCTATTTTTTTCTCCTATTTTTTCTTTTCTTTTTTCCTAGATTACTCCAGCTTTAGTCATAATGTACAAATTATTGGCAATTCATTCTTTATGAAGATGAAACCTAAAGAAAAGTTTAAAAAAATGTTAGGGTAATGATAGATATGTGTACCAATTGTCACATATTTCAAGAATTACTTTATTCACCTCATATTTTAAATGCTTTGAAGTTTATATTTAAATCTTTTTTAACAGAATCTGATTAGTGTTTAATTCAGTTATTATCAGAAGTGGCTGACGGTCTTTTAAATATTATAATAAATGATAAAAATATTTCTTTTTCAATAGAGGACCAATTTAAGTGATGCCTTTATATAAAATATTTAAAAAACAGATATCAAATGAAAAATATTGAAACAAGAGTTGTAAAACATTTATATAATGACTTAACATTGTTTTTTTTTTTTTTTCCTGTCCAAGGCAAGTTGGGGTTAATATTTTGACGTTTATTTACAATTTCAGAACATTTAATTGGAAGCAATATACAAAAGAATGAAAGAGTAAACTGGGCAAAGCAACAACCATGCAAAATAAAATGAAACAAACAATTACATACTGATGTGATAAAATTAGCCAATATATCAAACCATTTGTTTTTTAAGGGGAAATGTAAAATACAAATTAAAATTGCTTTTATGTTTGTTTGAATTCTTCAAAAATATACATGTTGCAGGAAAAAAAATGAAACAAAAACAAAGGCAGAATGTAAATTTTATCCATTGATAATGAAATCCATTTGTGTCTTTTGCCTGATGTCTTCAGACCAATGCCACAAATGTTTCTGCATTTTATGTAAATTTAATTTCCACATCAATGTTCTCCACTTTGAAAACCTATGAAACTGTAAAATAAAATTCCATTTCATGTAATTATAAATATATATTTGTACATACTATGTAAAAAAAAAAAAAAAAAAATAATAATAATAAAGATAAAAGAAGAAATAAATAAAGATATGACTATGCTGTTTTGTATTTACTTTATATTATATGTAATGTCTGTGTATATAAAAATTAAAATTTAAGTAAAGATATATCTGTAAAACGACAATAAGAATAAAGACAAAAGGAAAACTTCTTAGCCAATGTGTTTGTTAATGCACATTATCAAGGCAAAGATAAGGATTTTATTTTGCAACAAGTATTTAGAATCAATTAAAAATGTTAGTTTTTCAAAATTTGTTAATATTTAAGAATACTCATAAATATACTTTAGGCGAAGTGAAATTCAAGGTAAACAATGGAAGATGCTAAGTGACATAATTTAATAAACAAAATTGAATAAATGTTATTTTCTTTTCTTTTTATGATGTAATTATTAATTTTATTTTAGTTTGAGAAATAAATTTATGTATTTATATATTTTTAAATAATAAAAGTTTTTTTTTTCTTAATTTAACTGTATTATTTTAATTATTTAAAGTTTTTATTGTCATGTATGTTTTTTTTTTGGGGGGAAAGAGTAATTCTTTCAAGAACAGACATATTTAACCTGAAACTTATTTATGGGTGTCATTAAGTTTTAATAATTCAGAAAAACTAACCTTTTCACTTCTTGATAAAGGCTTAAAGTCATATCATGTTGAAACACCAAAGTTAAGCAATGTGAAAACTGTTCAGTGCCTAGGTAGGTGGCTGCTTGGGAATTGCAAGTCTTGTAAGCAGGAATATGTATGTGTGGTGTAATGGATAATGGCTTGGAATTGATAATTGGAGAGCCGAGTTCCAATTCCAGTTAGGTTTGTTACATTCACTTAGATTCAAATAACCTTGGGAAAGGTATGAATCCACCTCTTCTCCTTCAAGCTATGGATTAAATAGTAAGACTTGTATCACTTAACTATTATTATCTTACAATCTAAAAAATATATTCTGGATGTAAATAACTTGCAAATGGTTGAAAAGCCATAGAAAATGAATCTGTCAACTTCTTGATAAAGTTCATTACAAGATGAAACATGTCAGCTAAGAAAAGTTTTCCTTTTGTCTTTATTTGTGCACACACACATGCATATATATATATATATATATATATATATATATATATATATATATATGAGTACAGGTAATCGATCCATTGGTATATAATTTGGGTGGATCCTAGTAATACTAATTATTAAAACTGATCCACAGAGAGCTTGATGTATTTATGTTCTGACTATAAAAAAAAGAATGTGTGTGTATGTAAATCATCATGTGCTGCTCTGAGCAGCTACTGCTCTCAATTTGATATGCATATTGTCATCAAGCAGCCAATCTGATGACTGCATGCATAGTGTGTATGAAATTGACAGATGAACACTTGATTTTATCATAATGCTCTAACATTTTGTCATAACCACTTTTTCTGAGTGTGTCACATTATATGTTCCTTTGTGGATTATTTTTGTGTTGTATATTAAATATTTAATACATTGTATTTGTTAAATTACTTTGATGTATATTAGATATTTAATACATTGTATTTGTTAAATTACTTATACTTTGACATATATTAAATATTTAATATACATCACAAAAATAACCTATTTAAGCATAACATTTAACTTTATTATAAAAGTGGATGTAATTTTCGAAATTGTAGAAAATGCTTTTCAAGTTGTAATGTTTTTATTTATCTCTGAATATTGGTTCAGTATTGTTGATTTCTTGACCTGTCATTATTGTTCAAACATTTTTCACAACATTTGTTGATAAGTATTCTCTTATTTATTGATTGTAGTAACATAACTTTTTTGTTATGGAAGAGGACATATTTTTGAATTTGTATAGAAAGCATTTCAATTTGAAGATACAAAGACCAACTTAAAACAATGCTAAAAACCACTGGACTTGAGCCTAAATCATAAGACCATACCAACTAGCGATGTTCCGTCACCATCAGTACCAAAAAACTTTGAAATCACCAGAAGAGAATAGAAAGCAGTAAAATGGCAAGAGAGAAAAGCTTGACAAAATCGACCTTGTCCCTCACTACCATTACTATGCAGTGAATCTCATCAGGTCTTCCATGCAAGAATTGGTCTACTTTGTCATCATGATAAAGGAAGCAATCAGAAAAGAAGAAATTAAATTCTTGGATACGAGATAAAGCAGATGACATATAATTTTTTTCCTTTCTTTCAGCTTACTCTCACAAATATTTGTATACTTTTCCAAACAGCATTTTGAACCCTTCAATTAAACTTAGAATTAGAAAGAGATGCTTAAAATTTCCTAGCCACATAATGAGGAAAGTTGTCTTGGAGAACTTGACACGTACAGTATATACTGAAGGCAATTCAGTCAAAGGGAAAAATGAGTAACCTACCTAACAAACTTGTGTAAATGTATGGCAGAGCAAGGACTGGAAGTGATGTTGAAAAAATAATACTTACTAAGTGTTACAAAGGACTGAATTGTGATCTCCAATGTCCTGAACAGATATGGCACATAAATGAATAGCCTACAACATTAAGACCATGCTCTTTAGAATAAAGTGTTGAGAAAAGGTTATGAATTGTAACATATGGCTAAATTTCTCAACATTCCCAAAATAAATGAATTCAGCATCGACATGGGTTTTTACATACAGAGACTGCACACATGTATATGTTTCTCAACATGATGTCATTCTTCTATGCAACACATGGTATGCCTGAAAATTAATTTCTCCCAGATAGAAAATCAGGTGTGTATCACTATAGCATCCTTTGGATAAAGTGAGAAAGAAAACGGATTTGAGTGCTTTCCTTTTATACAATTTGACCTAGCAAGCATAAGGAGAAGTTTCCCTGGTAGACAAGGTGGGATAATCCCACAAAATGTGTTCATTGTGGGACTACTTGATGTTGCTGCAAAGAATTTTAAAATTAGAATAACAAGAACGCGGACTTACGGCCACATCATGAGGAACACTGGTTCCTATACAATAACTAAAGTTAAGCAATTTCGAGCCTTGTCACTACCTAGTTGGGTGCCCACTTGGGAATAGCAGGTGCTGTAAGCTTAGATGTGTGGATGATGTAATGGATAATTGCATGGAATTGTTAATTGGAGAGAGCCAAGTTCCAATTCCAGTTGGGTTCATTTTATTCACTTATGCACAAATAAACCTGGGAAAGATAATTAGTAAGGCTTGCCATCCCTAAATCATTATCATCTCAAAAAAAAAAAAAAATTACATCTTCAAAACATTTTCTGGCTTTAAATAACTAGCAAAGTGTTGATAAGCTGTAGAAAACGAATCCGTCAATCAATGAAATACTGATTAGTTACAAAGGCATGTCTTTTAGAATTATTTACATTCTCTGGAATATAAATGTACAGAACCTATCCTGGCCACAAAGTGAGTGGTCAGTTTATATATTGATTGTAATATAAAATTGATCTCTCACTTTATATCCATCTTATAATTTGTTGTTTATCAAATTCTGATTTAGTATGAATCCACCTCTTCTCCCCCACCAGCTATGGGCTAATTAATTAGTAAAACTTGTATCTCTAAATCATTATCTCAAAAAAAAAAAAAAAAAAATTCTTGCAATCTAAAAATATTTTCTGACTTTAAATAACCTAAAAAGGGGTTAAGCCATAAAAAAACATTCAATCAACAAGAACACACTGGACTTGTATGCTCATCCTCATGAAAAGGGTTAAGAATTGGGGCAAAAACTGATTAAATAAGTGCGAATGAGCCAATAAAAAATAAATGTTTAAGGTATTTTATCTTGATGAAATGGTCTCAATCAATTCCAAAAATCTAGTCTCTAAGAAACTCTTTTTTTTTTTTTTTTTTTTCAAAAAAAAAAAAAAGCACAGTTAAATTGGCTGAGAAAAGTGAAGTTAAACTTACACTGGAATGAAAGCCACTCACCATGGTGAAGTTGCCAGGCCAGTCAACGTATTTATGATAAACAACAAGATGTATGAATAATTACAATCATCATGCCTGTCACCAAGGCAAAGCCTGGGAAAATGAGATGAACTAATTTAATTAATTTAATACTTTTTTTTTCTGTTTGATTTTAAACTTCATATGATGATTTACTTCATTTTTTTAATCATTCCCCCACCCCCGCCACCAAGCATTAAGACACAAAAGGTTACTGAATTTGAAATCATAAGTAAAAATAAAAACATTATTAAGGAGCGAGAATAATAAAAGTAGGAAAGAAGAAAATAAAAAGCAACGATTGACGTTGCTGTCTATATTTCTGTTTCTGTCTACGATGCTTAACATTTTGATAAAAGATCCATTTTTCATTGCCAGTCACAAGTCTATCCAAAAAAGGTGAAACAAATTGGCGAGAATGGAGAGAAGAGCAGATGTCAACTCGGGATTGGAGGTTGTTTTCAGACAATTCATGAGGCACCCATTTTCCAAGTTTAGGAACTCTTCCAAGTTGTTGAAGATGACGATGAACAGTTGTATGGTTTGAACTGAGAATCACTGCCAATTCCTCAACTGATAAAACAGGATTTTCTTCAAGGGCTGCTTCAAGAAGCTTTTCATCAAACTCAACTGGATGTCTGGTTCAGTCTTCATCTTCAAGGGTGAAATCTCCACCTCTGAATTTTGCAAACCAACTTTTGCAAGTTCTTTCATTCACACATTCCTCTCCATAAACTGAGTGAATGTTTCTAGCCACTTTATCAATAATAGGAAAGATCAAATTTGACAGCAATATTCAGTGCATGGACAGATGGTTTGAATATTGCAGTCATATCTGACAGCACATACTTGTGGCTCCCTAGCTTAAATGGACCCACTCAAACTCAAAACACTCTGGCAATAGGCCTGACAATCATATCAACTTATTTCAGCTTATTTTAATTTCTCTTTAGGAAAAGACATTAATTTACTTGTTTTTTTTAATAAAGAAACTTTTCATGCTTTTGAAGATGAATATTGGTTTAAAATACTTTATCATTTTTCTTTTATTATAAAAAAAAAACACACAGGTCTTTATGTACTCTTATTCAACACAGCATTTGATTTGTTTACTTCAGTATTTCAGTTCAATTTGCTTGAAGACATTCCTTTGTAAATATGTGTATATAAAATGAAAACAAGTGTTTGTAACTCAAAATTTCTGTCTTTTTTTCCAAATCTATTACTGAAATTGACACATATCTCAAAGATTTATACTTCAAATTGAAAGTGAAAGATGCAAATCAAAATTACTGTTCCTTTTAATTATAATTCCAGGTAATTAGCTAAAACTTTTATACCAAGACTCACATTTGTGTAATGAAGTCATCATAAGTCAGTAATCCGATTTAAATAATAATACTAATTGATACTTCTACAAACTCACCTGGGAAGTCATGGGGTGGTCTATTGGCATGACCTTGTGTTGGGCTCAAGTTTGCCCATTCTTTTAAGTGATATTAAAAGGCATTGGGCACTTTGACATGGTGTAGTATTTAACAAGCTTGTCTCACTAGATCAATTATGACTGAGTAGTGAGTTTGAACCACCCTGGGTGCTCTATACTTTGGGCTTTGGGCCACATCTAAGGTATGCTTAGTAAATCCCTATATTAAGGAGCATAAATAAAATTTATAAACATGTTTAATTTATTTACTTATTGCTTTATTTATTTAATTGAAAATGACATTGTTCTTTTTTTACATTCCAAGTTCAAAAAAGGACAAAAAACTAGATAAAGGACTGTCCTTTCCAATAAATGATTTTGGCAACACTAGTTATGTTTGTCTAAAGATGCTTTCCAAAAACTAAGCAAAGTATTAAGGAACTGGAAAATTTCATTAGTAACAAAGCAAAGTCATGTAATATCAGCCTTCCTATATGGCAGTGAATTGTGGGTAATCTCATTACAAGCAACAGAAATATTGTACTACAAGATGTTGAGAATACCATGGAGTGAACATGTGCGTAACGTCAAAATTTTAGGGAAAATGGAAACAAAAAGGACACTTAATATCAGGGTATTTCTAGGGCATGTAATGAGGAAAGAGGGCTTAGAAAATTTGACACTGACAGTACACTGAAAGCACGAGGGGCATAAGAAAACAACATACAACCAACCTCATGTGTTTGTGTAAATGCTTGGCAGAACAGGGATTAGGAGACTTAGCAAATAGACAAACTTTATTAAGAGTTACAAAAGACAGCAAATTGTGAAGAGTCATGATTGCCCACATCCTGAACAGACACAATATATAGAAAAACTACAGACAGTTCTTGATATGATATTCCAAAGTTACGATCATATTTTTAGAAATTAAAATTGCATCTTTCTTCAAAAATCACTAAATAAATGAAATTTCATTAAATCCCATTTAATTAAAGTTTAGCAGACTTTCAGGTGGGAATGGCACTAAAATTTTCACAATTAATTTTCTGGTGATTTATTCACTTGTATATAAATGTAAACAGTAAACACAAAATTCAAGCACAACAAGCATTGCTTTGAAATCATGAAAAACAATAATTTTTATTCTATTTTTTTAATGAGAGTAATTTTCTGAATCTTTATATATAAATTTTTATACATCATGTATAAAAATTTTAAATTCCTTCAAAAACCTAAATTTTTGTGCCAGACATGAAAATTTTACATACAAGAGCTTGAACAAAAATTTTGTTTTGTGCACTTTATATAATAATTCATGTGGGATAATTTCCAATATATGACAAAAGGATTACAATTTTGAAAATAACAAAGCAACATTCAGAAAAGACAAAAGGTGCACTCACCTTCATAAAAAAAAAAAAAATTAAAAAATCTACTTATCCCACAATTGTTTCTGGTACCTTTTTACAATGTTTAGAAATATCTCTTAATATTGTTTCTGTTTGGCTACACACATGCTTCACTGGGGCCTAAATGATATTTAGTTTTCTTTTCCTTGTCAGCAGTGTCCTTGTGAAAGCCAAATGTTGTTTGTTCTTGATGCAGTTGTGATTTTCAAAAGTGAATGTCAAAAACCCTTCCACTGGCTGGCTTGAAGTTCTTTCTGTTTACACACCTTGAATGCCTTCACAACAAAATGCCTTCAGCTTGATGTCTAAATGCTTTCTGGATTATCTATTAACCTGAATCCTTTTATTAGAAAAATATAGGCTCCCAGATACTTTATCCTGAAAACTTATAATTTTATAATTTACAATTGTCTGGTTGTTCAATAAATATGAAAAAATATTCTTTCAAAAATTCGAAAGGATTCTGTAACAAATCAAAATAATTTGGCAGTTTTAACCGTTAAATCAAATAGATGTATACAACTGTAACAAATTTTATCACAAACCATCTGGCTTTCTTAAAAATATACTATCCTCAAAAGTATGTGTATATATATAAGAAAATAAACTAGATGATTAAACATTTATTGATTACACTGAAACTAACTTACTTTCACAGTACTAAAAAATTACATTTTTATACAAGAATTTTAGGAAAATTTATGATAAAGTGGAAAAAGATTTGTGTGGTGCATTTCATCTTTAAAGACATCATCAGACTAAAGTGATGTTTAAGTTGATGTGACTACATATGTGCATAAAGGAGAGGGGACACTAAAATTTTAGCTATTTGTCTATATTTCCTGACTTACAACAGAGTTCTTATGTGCCGTGATCTTTCAGGACGAGGCGATCCTCATCTCTCCACACTTTCCTGTTTTTTGTTGCTCGCAGTAAATTTTGTTTATGACAAAGGACACATGGCACAGTGGATAAATGCGTTAGTTAGACCCTGTGACAGGACCCAAAGAGTGTGAGTTCAATACTGGGTTAAGGCAGTAGAGAACTTAAAGAGGGGAATTAACAGGAGATAACTGACATCCATTAGACATGGCACATGGATCTAGAACAGTCTACCCCAGCGAGTAAAATAAATAGTTCAGTTTAACATTCCAACCACCTAAAGAAGGCCAGAGCGTACAACAGCCGAATCGTTGTGATAAATATGGCAACAAAGATGAGGGCAATAGTTTGAATAATGTAAATGATGTGTCTGAAATTTTAAATATAATTTTTTTTAATATGTGTTTTGGGTATATAGTTTAGCTGATTTCATTTAGCTCTTTGTTTATGTTTTTATCACTTTTATTAAATATGCTACATTGTAATAAGAGAAACTCTGCCAAGAAAGATGAAAAGTTGTAAGAACCTGGGTGTGAATTTAATGTGGATGATCTAACGATTAAAGAACTTTCTATACATTTTTGCCTTAGTAAATTGCTTTCTCTTTTAATGAAACTAGGTATTTTTAAATCAGAATTATGGTTTTTCTTTCAATTAATAATATGGTGTTTATTCTAAAACATTATGAATGAAAATTTTCAAAAACTGTAATGCAAATTCCTATCTATAGAGAATAAATTTAAATGTGCACTTGGCTTAAAAGCAACACCTGAAGATACAAAGTATGGATTTGAGATACCAAAATTAAGCAAGTACAAAAATTTAAATATCTAGTGATGGAAAATGTGATACCCAAATCCAAAGGCAAATTGGAATATCAAAAGATGCCTTCTAAAAATTAAGCAAAGTATTAAGAAATAGGAAAATTTTGTTAGAAACAAAGTAAAGAGTACTGAATAGTTATGCAATAACTGTCCTCCAATATGGCAGTGAATGCTGGACAATCTCATCACAGATGAAGAAGAGACTGGAAGCAACAGAAATATTGTTCTGCAGAATGATGCTGAGAATGTTGAATGAACATGTGAGTAATGACGAAGTTTTAGGGAAAAAAGGACGCTTATACTTAACATCAGAAAGAGACGGTTGAAATTTCTAGAGCACATAATGGAGAAAAAAGAATTAGAGAATTTGACACTTCTTACAGGACATATGGAAAGCAAGAGCTACCTAGGAAAACGGTGCATATTCTACCTAACGAGTTTGAGTAAATGGTTGGCAGAGCAGGGAGATAAAATAAAATTTACTGCGAGCAACAAAAGACAGGAAAGTGTGGAAAGATAAGGATCGCCTCGTCCTGAAAGATCACGGCACATAAGAAACTTTGTTGTAAGTGAGGAATTATAAACTGCCAAAAAAATTTTTGATTATCTCCCTTTAACGTTCTCACTCTTTAACCCGGAAATAATTAACCAAGTCAACAATCAATATGGAGGTCCAAGAAACTGAAAACGTCGCTGAATTTAAACAAAGATTTGATAATTTTGTTAACGAATTCATATCCACGTCGCAGAATCATTGTATTATCACCAGAGAGAAGGCTACTCGGATCTTAAGGGTGTTGAAGGAAGACCCCAGCGTGGATGACCCCCAGCTGAAGTTCTACGTCAAACAGAAACAGTTTCAACTGAGGGATTTTTCTCAGCTTAAATTGAGAAATGTTTTGTGTGTGCCAACATCAAGCGCTAGGAAAAATTCTTCAAGGGTAATAAAAGTAATAATTGTAGCATTTTAGTAGACATGAGAGTATTTATATACGGGTTTTCTTCTTTCTTTCTTTCTTTCTTTCTTTTTTTTTTTTAGTAACTTTCTTTGTCGTATTTACTTTCAAGTTTCATATGGTTCCTTTTTTTTGTTGATATTGATTGATCATTAAAACATTTAAACATATCAGAAATACAGATTTGCTTTTTTTCTCTATTCAGATATTTTTTTGGTATGGACCGTTTTATAAATAAGCAAAAGCGGAAACGATATTTAATTTAATTCTAAGAAAAATAAAAAGAATGTTTTTGTCAGTATTTACAAGACGAAAATGAACACAAGCTGTCATTAAATTTGAAAATAGTTTATTTCACGTTTTCATAACAGAATCATTTACAAAACAAAACGATAACAATAACATGATCCCCAAGTTAAGCGCAATTTCTGTATGTCATTTATAAAAAAAATATTCTATTGGAATTGGGCTTTATTGAAGCTCAATTTTCCTTTAGATATATTTTATCTTTTTTTTTTTTATTTATTTTCAAAAAACATGGCCTTGTGCCAGATTTGGTATATTCTGAGAAAAAGCTTAATTTATTTCTCACCACAGAAAAAGATGCTTCTGTGTCATACACCGATTTGGTACTTGCTGAAAGTTTTTCAGTGAACAAATGTTGTTTATGAAAAAGCATCTTTATTTATTGTTTCAACTGCGAAACTTATTTCATTACTGATTTTAAAATTATTACAGATAACAAAACAAAATTGAGGTTATTTAGAAGTACCTCTTCTCAAATCGGGTTAAGATTTCATATTTTAATTTTCCCTTTAAAACGCAGGAATGTAACGCAAATTTTAAATCGATGATCGTTGCTTTGTAAATAATAATAAAAATTTAAACCGAAACCAAGCAACGATATTATTTTTATGTGGCTTATTTTCAAACTTTAAATCACAACAGTAGAAAGTTGTGTTTAGTGTAATAATGTTTTTGTTTTGTTTCATATTTCTTGAATAAAGAAAGTATCAAGAGGGGGAAAAAATGAACGTTTATTTGAAGGTGTATAAATAAATTATGCCACATGAAAAAAAAAATTAACTACATTTACAAATTTTACATGATAAAGAATTAAAATTGGTATGTCTATCTTACCATGCAAGATAGACATAACAGAAAGACTCTAAAATTGATTAGTGTGACTGAGAAATAACCCCCAAACTTATTTTGAAATGATTGACCTTGTGTCCGATTTGGCATAGTATATTTACTTGGTGTTTCTGAGTAATTTATGTAAAATTGTTTTGAATAGTCATGATTCTCTATTGAATTTTGACTGAGGGATACCAGGGGCTGTAAGCTTGGATGTGCCAGTGGTGCAATGGATAACAGTTCAAAGTTTAAAATTTGGAGAGCCAAGTTCTAATTCCAGTCTGGTTCATTATGTTCACTTACATGCACATACCCATGGGAAAAGTATGAATCGATCTCTTCTACTCCTATCTATGGGTTAATTAGTAGAACTTGTATCAGTAAAAATCATTAAAAAACAATTATTAAAATCTAAAAATATTTTCTGGCTTTAAATAACCTGCAATTGGTTGATAAACTGTAAAAAGCAAATCAATCTATTGAATTTTTTTACATTTCTAATCATTTTATTTCTATTATTTTTCTGGTATGTTAAAAGGTAAATAATATTAAAGATTTTAAAATGGAAAAGTCTAATCTGTGTTGAAACTGGGAGATATATCCAACTTTTAAGGGAAATGCATTTATGCATAATTGTATTTATTCTTTAAAAATCGAGAAAAGGAGGTAGCTACAATGAAACAAATAAGATTCGATTAACTAGAATAAATAATTTTGGTAATAAAATTCATTTTCCTTATGTGGTCTACTTTGTTCAAATATGACATTCAATTCACTCAGAAAATTTATTTTTGAGATAAAATAATTTTAAAATGGGATCTAGTAGAATGGTCCTAAACAGGGGGTCAGTTTCTGGTGTTAGTATAATTCCAAACTGGACCCTGAGATTGTGCCCGATTTATGACCACTTATATTCAATTTAATGTGTGAATTTAATGTAAAACCAAACCCTGATTTTATGCCTGGTTACAAAAACATCGTTGTGAAAGAAAGGCAAAATCCAGTTGGAATAAAGGCAAATAAAAACAGTAATAGCAGAAAAAAGGCAAAACATAATGGAATAAAATTTAAATAAAAAATTAGAAAACACAAAAACATAACTGGCAAGAGATATAAGATCACAGACATTTTTATGCAATTTGGCAAAAAATCAGGCTCTAGTTTTACAATCAACTTATATGTTAAATAGAATGTCACTAGTCATCTTAATTTTTCTTGAAAGTGTGAAGATTCAGAAGGAAATGAATACCATGACAAAATAAACTACATAAAGAAAATGCATTTTCATACAAAAGTCTCTCATTTCAGATAACCAAATGTTGAATCTGAAAGTTAATTATTTTTGTCATTACTATTACTATTATAATAAAAAATATTAAGTTTAAAGCATTATTTTTTTTTTATTATCTTGAAGAACAGTTTGATTATCATAATGTTGTCCTGATTAATGTTAACCTTCAAATTTGTAGATATATTTAGCAAAATCAAATTGGATAAGATTTGCACATATCTCAGAACAGTTTGCATCAGTATACAATAACTTTGAACAAATATGCCAGTGCATCATATAATTTCTTAGAGAATTGTGTCAATAACAGAAAAATTTGTTCAAGATCTTATCTTTTACTTCTTGATGGTTGTATCTTGGAATCTTCGTAGACAATATTCCTTGACTTGCATCCTATTAACAACATATGATCATATCTTTTAACAGTATAGATAGGTCAGTATTGAACAATGGAGGCAATGTCATTTAACTCTGCCATTAATGTACTCATCTTTTTTGGCTGGCTTGGAAGCTACTTTTAGATTCTTGTGTATTAGTTTTAATGATTTTTTTAAAATACAAAGTGGTTAATAAAGTTTTATTTCACATGTTTTGGTTGTATATTTTTTACTGAATTTTTAATTTAAAAATATGTATTTTATGTTTTTGGTTTATTTTCTCTTAAATTTTAAAAGAATAAAACACCTTTTATTGAATACCATTTCTTCATGGTTGTACTGATAATTACTTCCTATGTTAAATATAAAGTCATAAATATTAGGCATTTACTAAGGATTGAACTTGCTAATCATGAGCTGGAAGTCAAGCTTGCTAACCATTACACCACAATGAACTGCCTTTGGCTCCATGACAAATATGTGCTTTTGTCTGCTTCAAAAGTTATAGTATGGTCATAATGACCTGTAAAGAATAAATTTTGGCAAACTTGGATCTTTGTGTCCACAAAAAAGTGGGGTGTTTCAAAAGAACAGTTTTTTCATTGATTTTTCTATTATTTTAGCTACCTTCACTCCTTTGTAATGTTTATTGCTTTAAAAAAAACGATTAAAATTGTCATAAAACCTAAAGATATGAAAGTGTATTTATTCATTTTCTTTGTTTTTGAGAATTGACAACAAAAATAATAAACACTATTAGATTCTTTATTCTTTATTTATACTAGCTTAAAGGCCACCCTATCGGCGACATATCAACTAGCTCCTGTGGAAGGCTCTTTGTTGGGCCTTCATCACAATAGGTAGGGAGGAGTAGATGCAATATGCAACAATAAACTACAGAAAGACTTAGAACTGATCACTGCATTTAAGTATTGCATTAATATTTAAGCTTACCTTTTAAAAGTTCAACAATAATTCTTCTGCTGTCACTTAATTTAAAGACAATTTGATTTACAGAGGTCCTTACTTTCCGTACAAACAATTATTTTTATTTCATGGGTAATTTTCGCTGGATTTCGTAATTAATTTAGATTATTCCCAAATTTACTTTTAAGGTATTAAAATTGTTATTGTACAAAAAAATCATGTAAAAAAATTGCTGAAACATTCACAGTAATGAAAACTTGGGAATCCAAAATTTCATGGTTGTGGGATCAAATTTGGTCCATAATGTTTTTAATTTGTTCACAGAGTCAGCCTGATTCCAAAATGATATATGTTGGGTTACAGCCTCTCAGAGTAGAGTTGAAAACGTGTGACACAGTGACACTCTGACATTTGCATTTATTATATAGATTGTTTATTGGAATATTTGGCAAAACATTGGTTAATTGCCAAGTGATTCAAACTTTATAAAATGGTAAATAATAAGGATTTCCTCTTATAGTTGATTCATGTAATTTAATAATTAAGTAAATGTTTATAAATTTATAAATGAAAAATTGTTTTCATATTTATTTCTTTATAAATTGGTAAATGATAAATATTGCATTAGTTATAATTGTATTAGTTTTTAGAAATATTGTAAATATAAACTTATTCTTGTAAATGAACACTAATAAATAAATAGTGATAGGTTTAATTGAAATTTTAATAATTGCTTTTTAAAACAATAAACATTGTCAAGGATTGAAGGTAGTTAAAATAATAGTGGTGTCAATGGAAAAACCATTCTTTTGACACTTTGTTTTTTTGCAGGAACAAGGACGCAATTTTTCATAAATTTCATTAAAATAGGAAATATTAATTCCAGATTAAAATAGAATCTGATAAAACTGTCTCCTTTTCTACCGAATGAAAAAAAAATGAAAATAATAACTTACTGTAAGTAAATACAACCAACAATAGCAATAAGCTTAAAAGTGTGATTGGAATCACAAGTAAAATGTTTATGTATGTATGGGAATTTTAAGTTAAATGTTTATATTAATAAAAAGCTAAAAAAAATATAACATTTGTTCACAAAATGCTACATTGACAATACTGAATTGGGTCTATTATAATTTTTCACTCACACAAGTTTGCTTAAAGACCAATGAATATTATTTGCTTAGGATTTTTTAAATTTATTTTTTCTATATTTTGAACTGGTTACATATTTAAATTGTCTAATGTTTGAGTACTTTTGGTTTTCATATGCCATTATCAAAGAGATTTGTGCTATTTCAATTTCATCATTTTCAAATATCATATCTTCACGTGACAGTTTGTGCTATGTCTTTTTTATTTATGAAATGTATTTTGTATTTTTGTTCCTGATTTTGATAACATTATATTCATGTTGGGTTTCATTTGTTGTCACTTTTTACATTTTATGTGACATAGTGTCATTGGTAAAGATTTGTTGGATTTCTTACGTTTTGTTGTTTTGGTTGGTGATAAGCAATTTAATTGAACTGTTTTCTGATAAATGGCATGTTAATTTGTGTGATAGTGTAGTGGCTATGCAACCAATGTGTGTGTTGTTTGAATTATAATTATTATTATTAGAGAGATATTCCCCAAATGAGCAACTGAATTCTTAGACTACTGGATACTGTTGTAGGTAATGCTATTTTTTGGATTAATAGCAAGATGTAATATGAAAAGTGTTTGCCATATGTGTTTTAAGTTTAAAATAAAATTTAAAAAACAATTAATTTAGTAAAAAATTAAAAGCTTGGAATTGTTTACAATTCTACATTGAAAGAAATGTGCATAAATTTGCTTTGTTTAGATCAGTAATATGTTGTGTTATGAAAAATGCTAGATTATATAAATCCATCATTCCAGATTTCTTGTAGGGAAATTAGATTTCTGGACTCTCCATCATAAAAAAATATTTTGTCTATATTTCTGGCATGTGGAGTTCATTATTTACGTTCAGACTATTGTCATCATTTTTGTTGTTGTTATCACATGATTTTGAGTGTTGTGCCCTTTGACCTTTTCTGGGTGTCCTTCAAGGAATTTTGAAATAGACCCTTTTTTGTTAATTTTGGAGGGTAAATGGTTCTCTTTCTGCTCTCCGTGTCTAGGAATAGCTCATCTTGTCTTTGTTTAGTACTGCTTGGTTATTGTTCTCCCTGTTTCCATAGCCTAGTGGATTAAAGCATTGGTTCAGGAATTTAGTAAGAGAGTAATTGTGAGTTCAATCCCTGGGCCAGACAGTGGAGACTTAGACAATGGAAAAAGGGCTGAGCTATGCTAAATAAGATAGTAGATATCCATTTATCACATGAGATATTGGTATTCCTCTGTTTAGTCTAAATTTAGTGTTTTGGTGGGAAGACTGAAGTAACACTTCCACAGTGCAGGCTTGAGTGATGTTATATGGAAGCTGTGCACTGCCCAGACCACATGGCCCTCATCTTCAGTGTACCGATAAGAACCAAAGGAATACACGGCATTACATTTGGGGATGGCTTGGCTGCAGGAGTTGCTGAAGCATTTTCACTGTTGATAGTCAATTGTCTTTGGGGCTTCATTCCAGATTTTCTTTTAGGATTTACTTCCATAGTCTTTTCTATATTTGGTTATGATCAGGTGTCGACAACCCCTCATGAAGGATTTTTGTTCGACCTGTCAAATTTACAGCTGGACATTAATTATCTAATTTAAGTTGCAGAAAAAAATATCAGTTGGAGTTAATTGACTTAGATAGTGATGAATTTTTTAAATGAAAATTTCATTCTGAATATATTGCTGACTTTTACAAGAAATACGCTTTGCCTACCAAAAAATGTAAAAGCCTACTGAATAATGTGAAAATAATGGTATCTTTATTTGGAAGTAAATGTAATTGTGAACAAGTTTTTTTGAAAATGAAATATGCTAAAAGTCATTTAAGAGCAAGGTTGGGTGATAACCACCTGGCTGATCTTTTGCTCGTCATCGACAAATATTTCACCTGAATAAGCAAAAATAAGTGTCTCATTAAATAATTTGCTAACTGTATATAATTTGGAGTAAGGAATTTGCATGTTTTGTTGATTGTGTTATCCTGTTATTCCTGCAGTAAAATAATGGAAACTTGTTTAAATAATATGATATTAACTTTGTTGTTTTTCTTTAAACTTTCAGACCAAGGGAGCCTTCTGGATGAAGCGGTCTGAGGTCGACACAATTTATTATAATACATTTGATATCATGGCACTCCTCTGAGATACTATAAAGCTGTCTGGCCTGCTCTTTCTAAAAGGTTGCCAACCCCTGTCTTAGATGGCCTGCCTTCCTCAGCTAATGTGCTCCACCTACCTAAATAAGAACAAGATGAAATATCCTTAGACTTAGACAACAGAACAAGAACAATTTACCTACTAGCTTAAATAAAAGGTTAAGTTTGAAAAATCCTGATGGTTACTTCTATAGACAAACATCTGAAGAAGGCTGCAGAGCAAAACAACCAAAATATATGATAATAACAAAGACTAGGACAATAGTCTGAATTTAAATAGTTTTCTTTTTTTTTTTGCATTTCACCATGTGTTTGTTTTCAATGTTCTGAAACACTGAAAAATAAAATAATTTTTGCAAAATACTTAGACACCAAGTATTTATTTATCATTTAACTGCACTAATATTCTGTTGCCAAGAAGATACCTAGTGTGACCAGTACCCATAGAAAATCATTTGTCACCCATCTGTGAAAATGATGTGAAGTAATTTTAGTGTGCAAATTCTTATTTATTTCCTCACTGACTTAAATCTCCCTCAACCAATCTCATCAAACCACTTTGGTGGCAAGTCTGATAATATCCCAGAATACTTTGGAAACATCTGCTCCCATTTTAGAATCTAACTGCTTAAGGTTGTGTACAATTTCAGAAACTTTGTTGTTACCAAAATATCATAACAGGACCATTCTCTTGATTCAATACTTTTTGGATTTCTTTCAGGAGAGGAGTTCTTACTTTTGTGCCGTTGGAATATATTTCATTGCACATTTTGTAAATATTAATTTTTTTATCTGCTTACCTCACTTAAACATTCTTAAACATCATTTGTCATTGTTAGCTGTGATAATTTATTTTATTTCTTCCTCACAGGCCAATCAAGGTATGTTTGGAAAATATCATCGTGTGGCTTTGAAAGATGAATTCTTTAACATCATATATGAGATCCATACACAAGAAGGCAGCAGTAAACATCTTGGAATTAGAAGCACTATACAAGAGGCAAGTGTACAAAAAATAATGTTCCCAGCAAAAATACTGTCAACTAGAATACCTATATATATATATATATATATATATATATATATATATATATATATATAGAGAGAGAGAGAGAGAGATACAAGGATGCATGGTTACATTTTATATTTAGAGTTTAATATTTGTAACTTTTATTTTTTAATTAAGTAATAAATTGGAGATTAATTAGGTATCCTAATTTCCTATATAATCTAATAATAATTCAAAAGCATTAATAAATTGTATCTAGTGCCCATTGTTTTGTTATTTGAATTATCATATACTAGCAATTTGGTTGGCTATTAATTCTTACATAAAAATATTCCACCTTGTGGGGGGTAGTGATTAGTTTTGAACTCTTTAAAAACTTTTTATTTTACAATTGACACCATCACTTGACAAGACACCAGAAGTGTTGAAACAAAATGGCTATTTTTGTAGTGATGTTATAACATACTTATGTCATAATTTATATTATTTTTTTTTTTGTTCATTTTTAGTTTTTGATTTTTAAGTAATGTATTATACTTATTTATTTTTATCTATTCTTTTGGTTCATTTTTAGTTTTCGATTTTGAAGTAACATATACTTATTAGCACTAGCAAAGCATATATTTTACAGCCAAAAGAAAGAATTGTTCGCATTGATTCAATGATCCTGACAGGGTGACTTATTGATTATACTTATTTATTTTTTTATCTTATTTTATTTATTTTTTTTTGCTTTTAGTTTTTGATTTTTAAATAACATGTTATGCATATTTATTTATTTTTATTTATTTATAATCAGTAAATAAGTAAAGCAATTAAATAAATAATAAACAAATTAACAAACTACGAATACACATGTAAACATAAACGTGTAAACATAATAATAAAAATCAACAAGAAATAACAAAGCAATCAATAACAAATTTAACAAACAAAAATATTTAAAATTAATAAAATTAATTCCGAATTAAAAAGACATCCATTCTCAATATATATATATATATATATATATATATATATATATATATATATCAAAAATAAAAAGAAAGAACAGTCAGATTTATAATCCAGAGTTCTTTAGCATTTATTTTTTTAAAAACAGTGTTTGATAAACAGCAAAGCATAATATCATTTATAATAATTATTTAAAAATATATGTATATATATATAATTATATAAAAATATGTATTCATCGTGACACAGAAATTACCATGTTTCGAAACCAAAACCTAAGTCTTAAATTAAACTTAAAATTTGAAGTTCAGTTTGAAAATGAAAGTGAACTTCAAATTTTAAGTTTAATTAAAGATTTAGGTTTTGGTTTTGAAACATGGCAATTTCTGTGTCACAATGAATACATATTTTTTATATATATATATATATATATATATATATATATATAATTAAAGTCAACACTTAGGAGGCGACAGTCTGTTATTTCATTATATGCATATAAAGTATTGTTATTTATACATACCAACCTGTATATGTATAAATAGCCGAGAAAAAATAACAGCATATTGGCCTGACGACATATATAGCATGAAATGACTGTTGCCTCTAAGTGTTGACTTTATGTTCACTTTTATATTTACACACGCCTATCTCTGATATCTAACACTTTATCCCATAAATATAGCACACCTTAAGACTATATTTCTTCATATATATATATATATATATATATATATATATATATATATATATAGATGAGTAACCTTGGTAACAAAGAAACTATGCAAACTCAACATCCTTTACAAATAGTAAATACGCAAATGGCACAGTGCTTTCTAAACATATACGGGAAATTAAAAACTGAAATCAAACCACATTAAAAATATCATGGAATATAGTCAAAACAACATCAGCCCACAACACTAAATCTAAAAAGTGTAAACTCTGTCTGAAGGAGAAACTCGCTATAATTACCTTCCTAGATCAACACAAACTACTAAATAAATGATCAGAACTCGGATCAAAATGTGACACAAGAACAAATTTTTACTACATTACTTAAAAATTGGAAACTAAAAAGGAAAAAATAATAATAAATTACAGTAAATACAATAAAAATAAATAAGTAAAATAAATTAATCCAAATCAATAAGTAAGTAATAAATTAATAAAGTGAATAATAAACAAATTAACAAACTAGGGATGACCACATAAACAGTTAACGTAATAATAACAATCAGCAACAAAGCAATCCATAATAAAGTTAATAAAACAACAATATGAAATAGCCACAAAACTGTATTCAGATCAACAATTAAGCCTCTAGAATAATTTAAAACATAATATGGACATCTGTGACATGATAGCTATTTCACTTTCTGACAACAACCCCTGGACAACAAGAAAAAGTATAAATTGCCATGTGTGGCTCTCTGAATTTTTATGATTCCTTAAGTATTGTAACTGAAGTCATTTGCTAATAAATGTATTTTAAGTGGACAAACAATTTAGATTTGAAATTCAATCTGCTTGCTATCAGGGAAGCAATACATACTTAAACTAGTAATTTCTAATTTGCATATGCATACCTACATCTTTGCAAGTTTTGTTAATAACACCATATCATGTTCTTGATTTCAGATAAATCGTCATCATGCACACATTCCTCGGGCGCTGATATTAAACTTTATCAAGATATGTCCTCTTTGCAGCCAGTCTTTTAATGAGCTGAATTTATTATCATCTGGGGATCTCTCCCAATCCTCAAATGAAAACAATGATAATCAATTTCCTGAAGAGTCTTTTGCGGATATCAAACCGAACATTCAACTCCTCTCAGAAGTTGTTTCCCCTAACCATTTTGCCAGTGTTCAAGATCAGTTTCCCACTTACTCACCATCGGGTCAGCCATATGTGACACCACTGCAATACTCTCCAGCTCCACCACCATCAGCCACACAATGGAGCAATTCTCTTCATCAGGAAAACATGGATAGCACAGATCAGGAAATCATAGACGCTAACCATTTTATGGCTGTTGGAAAGGTAAGCATTTTGCTTTCCAGCCAACTTTAATCTGCAAAAATTTACCTACAACATCAATTGCTATCTACTATCCTCCTGATTACTTTGTTTTTCTTTCTGCTCATTATTAATGTTTTTGTTTCTAATTATTCCACGCCCTGTAACCCTTGTGTTTTAGTGGCTTTACTTCCTTGCTTGGGATGATACTGATTGTTTTTTGAAAGTTCATAGGTCAAATTTATTGGTAAAAAAAATCATTGTTGGTATTGTCACCACTTGTGTCTGAGTTTGTTTCATCCAGTGCCTCCACGATGCCTGAAACCAACATGTCTCAAGATGTCAAGTTGAGAATGTTAGGGTCAGGGGGAATGGTCTTGGCTGGAGCTGCCGTACCCTGCATTGCCTTCTTTTTACTTCTTCAGTTTTCTCAAAAGTGGAACAACTGAAATGAATTGCTCTTTGCCAGGATGGACTTGTTTTTTAAGTTCATCCTGGCAAAGAGCAATTCATTTCAGTTGAATAATTTTAACGCTTTCAACAGATAAAAAATAGTGAATTTTATATAATGTTTTTTTTTAGACTTTGTCATGGATTTGGACAAAAAAAAAAAAAACACAGAATTACATCAAACTTTTCATCCTTTAATGTGCTTAGTTTAAATTTTAACATATACAAATGTAGTTAAAAAAAAAGGAAATGTTGATAAAACAGTGAGAGTCAGAATGCATTGCCAGGGCCCCCAATCATCCCCGCTCCTCCTGGTCAGGTGAGGTGTTTGTGGGTAGTATACAGTGGTCCTGGACTTGGGCAATGGAGATGCCCAGACTACAGAGTCCTCCTCTTGTACCTACTGACAAGATCAAAAGGAATACAGGGTATTACATTTGGGGATGGCTTGGCTGCAGGAATTGTTAGGAAGTTGCTAGTGTTGACAGCTAATCACATCTGGGGATCTATTCTGGGTTTTCTGCCTGGATTTACTTACATAGCCTTTGCCATGTTTTGGATATGACTGCAAGGCAGTGGAGGTTTAATATCAAGGTTTTCTTTCTAAATGGACTGCCTTCTTGGGCTGTTGAGCTCCATCTTTCCAAAGCAGTTGGTTATGGGCCACCAATTGTCCAGCTTCTCTTGAATTTGAGCTTAATCCTCAGAGGCTATTTGAGACATGTCATAGAAGCATTTTATAGACAGTGGAAGTTTGTCCCCTCTATCATCCTATGTCACTATAACAATCTTTGGAACATATATAATGGACGTATATAAACATTATATATTTTACTATAAGATTTATAATGTAATCTATAAAATGTATTAATGTTAAAATTGTCAAGTTTAAATTCAGAAATAACAATGCCTTTGATTAAATCACAAATAATTATTTTCATTTTCATTTGTAGGTGAGCATCATTGATATTCAAGAACTATTGAACCTTTCATCCCCTCCAAGACGCTACACTTGCCTTGTCCACTACATTGACCTCTGGTCCAAATACAGTGTTTTGTGGCCCCTAAGACTGAGGGATGTTGAAGAACTGGCCTTTGGGATCGCAAAGAATGTATTTGCCTATTTTGGCTCCCCAAAACAGATTATTTATGATACAAACTTTGATGACGCCCAGCGGCTTGAGGAATCACTGAGGAAATGGTCAAAACAAGTGAAAGTGACCATTGGTCTGCAGGAACCATTAGCCTCATCAGGGCCTGTCCACTGGAAGATTGTAGAAAAACTAAAAGAACTTCTCGTTGAATCCTGGGAAGTGAAGTTGTCCAAATTACAATGTAAGTATTATTTTCCTCTTCAGGGGAGAAGGGCATATATGTTTCAGTTTAAAGAATCTAAACTTATAATGAAAGGAAAAAAATTCTTCTTTGTTTTGTTTTTGTTTTCTTTTTATTCTCACAGATAAATGGAAGTAAACATGTTCATGGAAGTAATCTGCCAAAAAACGGATTTAACATTTCTCTACTGTGCTAGTGTTTTAAAATTTTGCAACATGAAAATTGCAAAAATCTGATTTAAAACCAGGTCTTTTTATTTCTAAAAAAGGAAAATTGAAATATGATTGTATTTTAAATTTGTAATTTCTTTTGTTTCAAGCAACCTTTGATTTTCTCTGCATTAATGTTTCTGGCTGATTAAAAGCAAAGCACTGTATTTAAAGTTATCTCAGAAACTGGAAAAATCTAACAACAAACATTTCTGGAAGAAATTTTCCTTAAAAATTAATTCTTACTTTATTTACTAATAATATTGATTTTATTAATTAGTATTATTATTAATATTAATAATTATTAATTTATTTAATAATAATATCGTTTATATTAATTATAATTATTATTAATAATAAATATAATAATGATTTATTTATTGAAAATTATCTATTAATTTAATAATAATAATATTGATTATTTTAATTAATATTATTAATATTAACAATTATTAATATACTTATTAAAATTATTTTTTTTTAATTTATTTGATAATAATTTTGATTATATGAATATTATTATTAATATCAATAATTAATAATTTGATTTTTAATTTAATTAATAATAATGACAAATTAATTAATATAATTATTATTAATATAATTATTAATATATTAAAATGTATTTATTCATTTTTTTTTAATAATACTGATTGTATTAACAGAATTATTATTAATATTAATGATTATTAATTTACTTATTAAAATTATTTCTTAATTTATTTAATAATAATAATATTGATTCTTATTATTTAATATTATTACTGTAATCATCAGGTATAAAAGAATTGGCCTTTATCTGGTTAAGAATTTTGTGTTTCACAATGTTAGTTGGATAGATTATTAGTATTATTAAATATTTAATTGTGCTATAATCTAACTTTTAATTTAAATTTAGGTTCAGATTTACCCATAAAATTTAAAATTTGTATTCCAATTTAAAATTTAAACAGCTTAGGGTGCTGTTAATTAAATACTTTATGCATCAGGATGGGTATTATGTACATTTATTAATATATGCTATATATATATGTGTGTGTGTGTGTGTGTGTGTGTGTGCGTGTGTGTGTGCGTGCATGTATGTATTTATATGAGCACTTGCATGTACATTTATTTATATTTATTTTTTGATTATATATATATATATATCTTATTTATTATTAGAGATTAAAACAAAAACATCACAACACAATAGCAATCATGTTTCAACACTATAAATATGTCTCCCCAAGTGATAGTAAATTACTGGTAAGTGAACGATTAATTTTAAAAGCAGAATACTTCCTCTTGTTTTGAAAGAGAAAGAGAAGAGAAAAAAACAATTTAAAATGAGGCCTGTGGGTTTACCATGATTAATCAATCAAATGCTAGGTATATGCTAAAATCCAAACCATACAAATAGAAATTCTAGACAGTTTAGTTTGTAGCTGATCCAAATGATTACATTATTTCATAAAATATAAAGAAGTATGATGTTCAACTTTCACAGCAAGTTAAAGAGAAAGGGATGAAGGGATAATCTAGTATAATATCAACTAGCTATATGCTAGGTCGTCCTCCTACATAGAATTTTGTAGTTCATAATTAAAAGGCTTCTTTAAGAAACCAGTAAAAAAAACAAAAAGAAAAGAAAGACAAATCATAAATTCAAAACTACTTTGGTAAATTAATATGCAACTGTTAAGTAAAGATCATCCATATAAGATGTTAATAATACTAACTAGATATCAATACAGTGCTGTATTAAATCAAAATGGTTTTTACACAATAGAATAGTGACTCATATAACATGCACTGCAGTACATCTACCAATTATTACTTGAAGGAAAAGTATTATCAAATTTGAAGTTTAAACATATTGTAAAGTGAAAGGTAAACTATGCCTACAATTTACTGTTAGTTCATTTCTTTGGTTTAATAAAGAGTCTTTATAAATGAATTTGATAATTTCTATTTTCTCTTGTAAGCATAAGAAACAAGGTTTTGAAATTAATCATTCACTCACCAGTAATTCACCATCACCCAAGGAGACACATTTGTAGTGTTGAAACACGATTGCTATTGTGTAGTGATTTTTAACATGTTTTTGTTTTAATCACTGATAATAGATAAATTAAATGTTACGGACAGTGGAATTATACTCCATTTGTTCTTATCTTCAATGGATATATATATATATATATATATATATATATATATATATGACAACTAATTCCAGCTCTAGGCTAGAGAATGGATGAAGGTGGAAAACTGGGGTCTTGTAACCAGTTACTTATAGATGGAGCTCAGAAGTCATATTAGGCAGGCCATCAAGAGGAAGAAAAACCCTGATTTTAAATCTCTGCTGCCTTGTGGTCATGTCCAAACATGGAAAAAGCTATGGATATAAAACCAGACAGAAAACTCAAAGTGGATCTCTGAAGGCAGATGATGAACAAACATGGAAAAAAACATAGTTGTCCCAAAGAAAAGCTATGGATATAAACCAGACAGAAAACTCAGAGGATCTATGGACTGACAACTTTCTGGCAATTCCTAAAACCATACAGAATGGATATAAAACCAGACAGAAAACTCAATCTCTGAAGGCAGATGGCTGTCAACACTGGAATCTGAAGGCAGATGGCAGATGACAGTCAACACTGACAACTTTCTGGCAATTCCTGCAAACATAGTTGTCCCAAAGAAAAGCTATGGATATAAAACCAGACAGAAAACTCAGAGGGATCTCTGAAGGCAGATGGTTGTCAACACTGACAACTTTCTGGCAATTCCTGCAAACATAGTTGTCCCAAAGAAAAAGCTATGGATATAAAACCAGACAGAAAACTCAGAGTGGATCTCTGAAGGCAGATGGCTGTCAACACTGACAACTTTCTGGCAATTCCTGCAAACATAGTTGTCCCCAAGAAAAAGCTATGGATATAAAACCAGACAGAAAAACTCAAAGTGGATCTCTGAAGGCAGATGGCTGTCAACACTGACAACTTTCTGGCAATTCCTGCAAACATAGTTGTCCCAAAGAAAAGCTATGGATATAAAACCAGACAGAAAACTCAAAGATGGATCTCTGAAGGCCCAGATGGCTGTCAACACTGACAACTTTCTGGCAATTCCTGCAAACATAGTTGTCCCAAAAGAAAAGCTATGGATATAAAACCAGACAGAAAAACTCAAAGTGGATCTCTGAACGCAGATGGCTGTCAACACTGACAACTTTCTGGCAATTCCTGCAAACATAGTTGTCCCAAAGAAAAGCTTGTATAAAACCAGACAAAACTCAAAAGCTATGGATATAAAAATTCCCAAACATAGACAGAAATATAAAACCAGACAGAAAACTCAAAGTGGATCTCTGAAGGCAGATGGCTGTCAACACTGACAACTTTCTGGCAATTCCTGCAAACATAGTTGTCCCAAAGAAAAGCTATGGATATAAAAAAAGAAACCAGACAGAAAACTCAAAGTGGATCTCTGAAAAACTCAGATGGCTGTCAACACTGACAACTTTCTGGCAATTCCTGCAAACATAGTTGTCCCAAAGAAAAGCTATGGATATAAAACCAGACAGAAAACTCAAAGTGGATCTCTGAGCATCCCAGATGGCTGTCAACACCAGATGACTGTCAACAACTTTCTGGCAATTCCTGCAAACATAGTTGTCCCAAAAGAAAAGCTATGGATATAAAACCAGACAGAAAAACTCAGAGTGGATCTCCTGAAGGCAGATGGATCTCAACTTTCTGAAGGCCCAAAGATGGATATAAAACCAGACAGAAAACTCAAGTGGATCTCTGAAGGCAGATGGCTGTCAACAACTTTCTGGCAATTCCTGCAAACATAGTTGTCCCAAAGAAAAGCTATGGATATAAAACCAGACAGAAAACTCAAAGTGGATCTCTGAAGGCAGATGGCTGTCAACACTGACAACTTTCTGGCAATTCCTGCAAACATAGTTGTCCCAAAGAAAAGCTATGGATATAAAACCAGACAGAAAACTCAGAGGATCTCTGAAGGCAGATGGCTGTCAACACTGACAACTTTCTGGCAATTCCTGCAAACATAGTTGTCCCAAAGAAAAGCTATGGATATAAAACCAGACAGAAAACTCAAAGTGGATCTCTGAAGGCAGATGGCTGTCAACACTGACAACTTTCTGGCAATTCCTGCAAACATAGTTGTCCCAAAGAAAGCTATGGATATAAAACCAGACAGAAAAACTCAGAGTGGATCTCTGAAGATGACAGTCAACACTGACAAAGGCAATTCCTGCAAACATGTTGTCCCAAAGAAAAGCTATGGATATAAAACCAGACAGAAAACTCAAGTGGATCTCTGAAGGCAGATGGCTGTCAACACTGACAACTTTCTGGCAATTCCTGCAAACATTTTGTCCCAAAGAAAAGGATAAAACCAGACAAAAACTCAAAGTGGATCTCTGAAGGCAGATGGCTGTCAACACTGACAACTTTCTGGCAATTCCTGCAAACATAGTTGTCCCAAAGAAAAGCTATGGATATAAAACCAGACAGAAAACTCAAAGTGGATCTCTGAAGGCAGATGGCTGTCAACACTGACAACTTTCTGCTTCCTGCAAACATAGTTGTCCCAAAGAAAGCTATGGATATAAACCAGACAGAAAACTCAGAGTGGATCTCTGAAGGCAGATGGCTGTCAACACTGACAACTTTCTGGCAATTCCTGCAAACATAGTTGTCCCAAAAAAGCTATGGAAAAAACCAGACAGAAAACTCATGGATATAAAAACACCAGAATTCCTGCAAAAAGTCC